TCTTTAGCATCATAACCGGACACCCCAATAAGCTCCTACGGGCACACCAGGTGGATGGCCTCTTAGCAGCCAAATCCTGCTGGGACCAGAGGGGCTTTAGCTCATCGCTAAGCCCCTTCTGTGTTGAACACGTCCACATTGACCCTGCATGTAGATCCTTGGGGCCTCTCTGGCCCTGTGCCCCTGCCGTAACCCCTTTCCGGGGATCCACTAGGTCCCCTCACTGGGACCGCTGAAGTGCTCTGGTTCATCCAGGCTGGTTGAGGACTCCACTTCCCATCCTCCTAGCTTCTCTTCCCCCGGGTCTTTAACCTGGCATTGGGTGTCCACCCGACCAATTGCCCCCAGTATGCTCTTATAAAGCGTGCCCAAGTCAATGTGGGAGCCACTCCCAGCTGTTCCTGACTTTGCCACTTTTTTTCCTTTTGATATTTTTCTGCGGCAGCTCCAGCCACCAGCTTCACTTCTGCCGCAATTGGCTCCCGGCGGGGTGTATTGCCGCCTCCCAGCCTCTTCAGGTAAGCCTTTTCCACAGTCACACACTCAAGTTTTATTATACTGCCCCTGACTTCTCTGTGAGGCCCTGTTGGTGAGTTAAAGTATTCCAATTTTATAATAGGAAATAGATATTGGCACCAAGGATGTTCAAATAAGAGGCAAAAGCTCATATGACAAAATTTGCAGATGACACAATTATTTAGGTTAGACCAGACCAAGCCAGAGACTACAGAAGACGACTGAAAAAAGGTAAGTAGATAGCCTGTACACTGGAAGATGAAATTCATTGTTGACAAATACAAGATAATGCACATTTAAGGAATAATTTGAATTAATCATACACAGACAGTCCAATGAAAAATTATACTGTCAGTTTCATCGGTTCAGTTAGTCAGTGACTTCTTCAAGTGCCTATAAGTCTACTGTGGCATAAAAAAGAAAAGAAACAAGCCCTGTAGAAATGACAGGCATAGACCACAAAAAAGCACATCCTTGGGTGCCTGCTGAAATGCACAAAAATGGAAACTGTGCTGTTAATTTATATTGGTGCAAGGTAATATATGATCAGTCAGTTAATTATTTGAAGGAGATGGGGAGACAGAAAGCTGGCAGGAAAACAATTTGCTGGCCGGATGGGGGAGAAGTTAAAGCTGCCTTGATGTCTACTTGAGATATTCCTATTCCATAGCCAGAACAGAATTCTAAGGAGCAATACAGAAGGAGAAGATCAAAGCTCCTGGGAACTCAAAAAACCCCAACATTTAAAGTTGAAGTTTTATCTATTATTTGTTCCCTTATTATTTCAAAAATGAGTTGCAAAGCATAAAGTAATAGTCAAATCAGTTTGACTTTAATGTATGGCAGTAGAAGTAAACAAATACTTGCTGTCTTTTTCATAGACTTTAAAGTGAGAAGGGAGCATTAGACTTTAAAGTGAGAAGGGAGCATTATATCAGGTGGTATAACCTTCCATTTTGAAATGTGGACACCAGAACTAGACACTGCATTCAAGTATCTGTCTCAACAACAAGGTAAAATCATTTATTTTCTTTTACTCACTGCCCTCCCATTATATAAATCCAAGGGCTGCTTTTTGCTATAGCATTGTACTAAGAACTCATACATTCATTTTACCATTACAACTCTAACAGGTTTTTCAGAGCCCAACTTTGCTAAAGAAGTTCTTCTGTTGTAGAATGGTGTGGCAGGGGGCCATCTCATGACCGGCAGCGCACCTTTGGTGCCTGCCACTAGTGGCCTGAATTTTTTGTACCTAGACACAATGGGTGACGTGCTCCTGGGATCGGGGGCTGCTTGAATTAGAGGAACTTTGAGAGTCACTCTAATTAAAGTGCCCACTGCATCATATGTATGCGGAGTCCTGAGCTTCAAAATGGCAGTGGGGGTGCTTGGATTAAAGCTTGTTTGCCAAGCTTTAGTTAAAGCGCCCCCATTGCCATTTTGAAGTGTGGGGACACTGAATAGATGAAACACAGAGGCTGCTGGGGCACATTAATACACTGCAACAGATTCCATTAATTGAATTTGCTTCTGGTCAGCCTAGGCAGCAGGGGGAAGGGAGCCAGGGATGGGGTGGAGGCATGATGACCCATGACCAAGGGGAGGTAGCACCCTGAGCTCTTTCCTAGTTTTGCCTGCTGAGGGGACAGGGGTCATGACAGGGAGGGTGACTACTAGGCCCGTGTGAATAGGGAACTATTCGATTTGGATTCGCCCCGTTCGAATGCCAGAGATTTGATTTGGAGATCTGAATCGTTTTTCCAATTCAATTCAGCTGAATCGCTTTGGAAGATTTGGTGCCAATTCAGAGATTTGGCCATGGAGTATAATGGGGAATCAATTAAATATCTATAACTTTGTTGTCTTTTGGCTGATTCAGATGAAATAAGCAGGGATGGTAGCCTCTGCTGAGAGCATGATACATACC